TCTAATTTTAAATAAGTTGCAAAAAATTATAAAGTGACACTTAAATATTTCTTCAGACAAAAAGAGAAAAAGAAAAAATTATTACTCCATTTATAAGACAATTGTATTTTATAAAAATAAATAATTTTAAAATTTTTACCATAAAAAAATATTTTTCAAAATTATTATATTTTCAATAAAATTAATAAAGAATACTCTATTCTCAGTCTTGGAACGGGTCATTCTGAATCCAAAACGGCCCGTTCTGAAACCAGAACGGCCCGTTCTGATTTCAGAATGGACTGTTCTGATGTACTGGTGGTGTGTTAATTTTGCATCTAGAACGACCCGTTTCAGATGCAAAATTAACACACCAAGAGTGCATCCAGAACGGTCCGTTCTGGTTTCAAAACGGACCGTTCTAGTTCCAGGTGTTTTCACAAGATTTGGCGTCCACGTGGTATTCACGTATGCATCTACGTGGCCAACAGTTAACTCCGTTTAAATAATTTGGACGGAAGTCCCAAATTGAAACTAATTAACTTATGAGGGACCAAATTGAGACAAAAAATAAAAGTGGGACTAAATTGAAATAAACAATTATTATAAGGGACCAAAATAAGTTTTTAGCCTTTAAAATTTTATTTTAAGCTAGTGGTTATTTGGTTATTTTTTTTATGGTCTTAAATATATAGTAATATTAAAACAGATCCATTTTTGTACCATCAAGTTGCAGTGTTAAAGTATACTATCTATAGTTGATTGATCATAAAGTAGTGGTTACCAAAACCTACTTCCTGAAGGTCATGAGAAATTTTTTTTATTGTGCACTAAACACAATGAACTTGTTGAATATAAATATTAAATTAAGTGATTTATTATTTAAATAATTATGATGTAATTATATATATTTTTACTAATTTATTTATAATTCTAATATTTAATGATAAAAATTATTATATTTAGACCGTTAAGATGATTGCGTCTTATATTTAGACCGTTAATAATTTTAGTAATTATTAACTCCCTATTTATTAAGAAAGAGATAGAGAAAAAATAAGGTGGAGAGCAAATAAATAGGAGAAAAAAAATAAATGTTAGTTTGGTTTTGAAAATTTGTGTCAGGTGAGATCCCACACCTTTTTATTTCCATGCTGTTATGCGCAAAAATGTGAAAAATTATACATCTTGTTTGCATTTATTGACGGTTTCAAAATCACGAATAAATGTCATTAATTGATTTTTTTTATTTCAAGTGTATCTTTAATGTTAAGTTCTTATTCAGTTCTTAAGTTTAAGAACTCATTGTTTATAAAAAACTTGCATTGGAACATGCTGACATGACATGTCAAATTGCTAAAATTTAAGCATCTTTGCTTATATAAGAGACGGTTGCTTAAGAATAAAAAATAATTTAATATTTCTTTCCTTTATTAATGTTAACAACTATAATAATTAATTTTTTAAAAAATTTATTAAAAATGAAATATGAGTGATTAAAAAGTGGAGGTACTTATAAGCAATTTTTATTAGAGTAAAAATTATAAAAATATAATATATATATTTAAAAATTGTGTGAGATCCATTTAAAGTGGATTAGAGTTGCTTATGATTGACATGACAATGTGAGATCCATTTAAAGTAGATGAGAGTTACTTATAAACAACTTCCATCGTAGATGTTCAATATTTTTTAAATATATATTAACCGTTTCAAATCTTAAAAATATATTGTTCGACTAAATAACTATCTTATTCAACTACGTGAATTCGATTTCAAAACTTTTATTCAAATAAGAATTTTTCTTATTTAAATACAAACTTTTCTTATTTAAATAAATTTTTTTCTTATTAGAATTAAAAAAAATTTAAAATTACAAAACTTTTTTATATTATATTTAAAAATGTTTATGCACTTTAAATTTATTTACTTATGTTAATTTTTTTAATCTAAAAAATTACTTTAGAATTATTTATTTACTTTTAATTTGTTATTTATTTAGTTGTATACTTTTTATTTAATTGATTAAAATAAAACTAATTAATAAAAAATTATTTTAAAAATATTTATTTTTATTTCATTCTGTTTTACTTTATTTATTTTTCTCTTTTCTTTTTTATATATACCTTATTTTTTATCTATTTATTTTCACATATTTGTTTCCTCTTTATCGGACAGAGGCTAAAGGTACAAGATATAGAAAAATCAGCTGGAGAATTAAAAGACTAAAAAGGCAGGAACGGATTCTAGCATCCAAGGAAACCACAAACTACCTGTTATATTGTTCATTGTCTTGCAAGGAATATTGACGTGTTAAGTGATCACTATGTTTTAAAAACAAGTGATAAATATAAAGGCTGCTAAGATACGAAATCAAAGTATTTTTGGGAATTTTTTTATTAAAAATAAAAAATATTTTTTGATGAATTTTTTTAAAAAATATTTATAAATTTATATTCAAATATTCTTATAAAATAACGTATACAAGAAGTTCCCCCGAACTTACTTACAAATTTCAGTCTTGTTCGTAAAATTCACGCAATTAGAAAATAACGCGTACATTTATAAATCCGCGTCACACAGGCCGTGAGAGGTGAAGCTTCGGTTGCCTTGGCTGCACCTTCTCAAGTAATACGTGTTGGGTTTCTCTTGATATTTGGGTTGAACACTCCTCCAAACCACAGGCATAGTTTGAGATGTCAGATGTTGAAATGGATAGTGAGCTTGTTGGGAGTATTGAGATGGGCGATATGAGATTGACAGGTGATGCAATATTGAGTTATAGTTGGAGAGTGGACAGTTTGATTAGGAGTGAGACTGCGTCTCACTTGGGAGATTCTCCTCTCTATACTTTTGCTTCGCGTGTGGACAGTGCCATAAGGAGTAGCAGTGCTAGTTACGAAGCAGATTATGAGGCACACAATAACAATTCAACTACCACAAATGTCCCTTCTCATTTTCAAGCACAAACTCAGCTTTCCCTTCAACAAGTAGAACCAGACAAGAGCCATTCTAATGAGCCTGAGGCTGATGCTGATGCTGATGCTGATGCCTCTTCAGGGATCATGAGATCAACCACTTTGGCTGCCAAGAGGGGCATGGGAGCGCCAAGAATGCGGTGGACAACCACACTCCCCTCTCGATTTGTTCATGTGGTTCAGCTTCTCGGTCGCCATCAAAGTAAACGTATATTATTTATCTTTTCCACTCTTTCTTCTTTCAGATTTCACTCCCTTCTTCTTAAGCTTTTGACTTTAGTTTCACTTGTTATACAATATATTCATATATAAATGTTTCTGTCTTGACATGGGCAGGTTTGAATTCAAAGGATGGTAGCAAAGAAGAGAATGGCTTTAGTGGTTTAAGTGGCAAGGTGTCCTCTTCATCTATGCTTCTAAGTCCTCAAAGTGAGGATGATATATTGCAGTTCAGCAATTTGAAGAGCTTCACATTCAATGAGTTAAGAATTGCTACAAGGAACTTTCGTCGGGATGGTATAGTGGGTGAAGGTGGTTTTGGTTTTGTGTTTAGGGGTTGGATTGATAAGAAGACACGAGACCCTGCTAAACCAGGGACAGGAATGGTCATTGCTGTGAAGAGGCTTAACAAGGAAAGCTTCCAAGGATTTAGTGAATGGTCGGTGAGTGTCACTTTCACTTGTAATGGCCTTTTACACTTAAGAACTTTGCTCAATGCTTGAGAGTTTAGTGACATGAATGTCGAGTTACAAGCTTAGATAAATTTCTCCATTAATACTTTTAGTTGAAAAAAAATAAGATGGTAAAATAAATTGAATTTTCCCTAAAAGTTAAAATCAATTTATGTAATTGACTTTTATAGAAACTTTTATTTAACTTTTCTAAAACTGAAGGGCAATTTTTTAGCTAATGGGAGTAGTTCAGCTGATTTTATCTCATATTTTCCTTTCTTTTAACTACTTTGGATAAGTTTATCTGAATGAGACCTTAGTTTAAGACATATTTTTTGTGAGCCTTGTTTTTCATTTTTTGTAATGTTTATAGCAACATACATGGTGGCAGTTTAGCTATTTATTGTGAAAGTTGTGACTGATTAACCTTGTACTATATAGGCAGAAATCAACTGCTTGGGGCGGCTGTGTCATCCTAATATTGTGAAACTAATTGGTTACTCCTTAGAGGGCGGTGACTTGAGCTTGGTGTATGAATTTGTGGCCAAGGGTAGTTTGGATAATCACTTATTCAGGAGTAAGTTTCTTTGTGGGATGACTTTGCTTACACTTTAGTTCCTTAAGCACCTCAAAATATAATATCTATATGTTTCTGGATCAGGGGCTTGTTCTTGGACCATCCGTGTGAAGGTTGCTCTTGATGCTGCTAACGTTCTTGCATTTCTACACAGTGATGAAGTAAATGTAATATATAGGGACTTCAAAAGTTCAAATATCTTACTCGATTCTGTAAGTCAATCACATTGATCTTACAAGCGTAAGAGATAGATATTATCGGTTAGGATGACTTTCTAAAGTTCGGTTTTGTCGATGACAGAACTATAATATAAAACTCTGTGATTTTGGGATGGCAATAAATGGACCAGAAGGTGATAAGAGCCATGTTTCTACAATCGTAAAGGGCACCTATGGCTACGCAGCTCCTGAGTATATTGCCACAGGTATCTCATTACTTTTCCAATCAACATCATATTTCAAGTTTGAATTGATAAACTTCCCCATAAACACTTTTATGAAAATAAAAAATAAAAAACAGTAAATAAAATAAGTTTAAATTAGCTTATACATATATTTAAAAATATATTTTTAAAAAGTTAATATGCAGATTAACTCATAATGTATTAGTTAATTTTCTCTATAATTCATGATGAAATTGATCAAAAATACCCATTTTATTATCATACCTTGCATTCATTGGATAGGCATTTAAACCTGGATAGTGCGTAACCAAAATCTTGATTGCAGTGGAAGTTCCAAAATCTTGAGATTACTAGGAAAAAGTTGGTGTCCACATGTTCAACTTATCATTTAGTTCTTTCCACCTACAGCACAGCTTAAGCTTTTGGAATATTAGTGCATGATACGGTAGGGGAGCATATATCATCAAGTGTCTTCTAATAAAAATCTAAATTTCAACACAAGTGGGCCTCATGTACATTATCTGCACTTCAAGCCTAAAGAGAACTTGCAAGTGAGGATGTGTTATTAAATCTAATATAAATCATTCACATGTCTTCACTTAACAACTAAAACTTTTGGAATAAATGGTTTATTGATAACTTCCTGCTCTATTAAAAATTGAGGTTTTCCTAACTGCATTCAGATGTCACATGCTCTCTACAATTCAACTCAAATCCATAAAGCAATTTAAAAATCCTAGCTTCACCAGAACCTTCCATTTTGAGTAAATTAGCACACTTTCCCTTCCCAACTATGCTATGCTGTTACTCCTCTCTATAGTAAGGTGGTCTCTAACTCAGCAATCACCGCATCATCTAACAAAATCAGAACCAAAAACATATCCAATAAGAGCCCCACTGACCTTTTTCCCATTTTCTTCTTTTTTTCTTTTTTGTGAAGGTCGCCTAACCAAAAAGAGTGACGTGTACAGTTTTGGAGTTGTTTTGCTGGAACTTATGTCAGGAAAACGTGTAATGGACAAAAACAGGCCAAAAGGGGAGCATAATTTGGTTGAATGGGCCAAACCACTCCTCATTGACAAAAAAAGGATCTCAAAAGTCATGGATGCTCGCATAGAAGGCCAATACTCATATAGAGAAGCAAAGAGAATAGCTCAAATTGCAATTCATTGCCTGTCTACAGAACCAAAAGTTAGACCAGACATGAATGAGGTGGTGAGATCATTGGAACATCTTCAGGATTCCAAAACACAAGTGATAAAAGCACCATTTCCAAGATCAAACCAATAAAATAAATGGTCATAATAGCTCAAGTTGCAATGGCACTCCTAATCCAAGTTTATATTCTTCTCCTCTTAGTACATGACGATTGACGAGTAATAGCTCGGACACATTGGAAAGAGAGAAATTTTGAGATTTGTACTATACAGTTAAGAATAACTTAAAAAAAATTATTAGTATTACCTATATTGCACAAGAGGTGTTTCTGAATCAGATAAGTGAAGAGTTTTTCGTTGATATTTTTGTTGATTAGTTTTTGATACATATATAGAGCATACATAAATACGTAGTAACACACTTTCAACTACCTAATAGGTATGGGTAACCTATCCAACATCATTACATAGTTGAACACACTCCAAAAGGTATGGATCTTGTACTAGAGTAGACCGACAAACACACCAACCACAACAACAAACTTTAGATAAAAGTTCACATCACAAAATATTGTTGAAATCAGAAATTTCAACAGCTTCAACACTCCTTGCTTTTGGAAGACCTTTAGTTAATATATCAACAACTTGAAGATCATAACAACAATGAATCAACTTGATCTCATGATTTTTGACAACCTCACATATGGCATGAAACTTTACTTGAATATGCTTAGTCTTTCCATGGATTTTTTGCAATAGCAATTGCTGACTTGTTGTCACAATAAATCTCAATGGCTTCCTATTACTTAGCTCCTAAATCAAGAAGAATTTTCCTCAACCAAATAGCTTGTTTTGTTGTTGTTGCTCCAGCTACATATTCCGCTTCAATAGTGGATAGAGCAACAATTGCTTACTTCTATGAGTTCCATGAGGACATGCCAAAACCTAAGGAAAAAAAATAACCCATAGTGCTCTTCATATTATCAATGTTTCCTGCCCAATCACTCTCAACATAGTCAATTAGACTTCCATTTTCACTTGGCTTGTATCATATTCCAAACTAAGTAGTGCCTTTCAAGTACCTAAACACTCTCTTTGTTGTTGCAAAATGTATCTCATTTGGACTCTGCATGAATCTTGAGAGTAAGCTAGTTGCATATATACATAAGATCAAGTCTAGATGAAGTGAGATAAAGTAAACTTCCAATAAGAATTCTATAAAGAGAAACATCAACTTTTCCAGCTCCATCTTCCTTGGAGAGTTTCAAATTTTGCACCAAAAGGGTAGGGACCAATTTGCAACTTTCCATTTTATACTTCTTTAAAACTTCATGAGCATCCTTCTCTTGATTCATAAAAATACCATCCTTAGTTTGATGCACTTCCAAGCCTAGAAAATAGTTCATTTTTCAAAGTTGGACATTTGAAATTGATTTTGCATCTCCTTTATAAGTTGTTGCACTTCTTGTTGATTATTGCTAGTCATTAGCAAATTATCAACATACTAGGGAATAATCAAAAAGCCATCATCCAACAACTTTTTCACATAAAGAGTTGCATCATTTTCACTCCTCCTAAAACCTTAAATGCAAAAATAGTTATCAATTATTCTATACCAGGCTCTAAGAGTCCGTTTTAGCTCATACAAAGCTTTATGAAGCTTGTACACCTTGTCTTCACCCCTTTTTCACAACAAAACCTTCAGGTTGAGCTACATAAATTTCTTCAACTAGGTTGCCATTTAAGAATATAGATTTGACATCTAATTATTAGATTTCCCATTTCATTTGAGCTGCCAAAGCTAAAAGAATACGAACAGTGTCCATTCTTGCTACTGAAGCAAAAGTTTTTATGTAGACAATTCCAGGTTGTTGAACATAACCTTTAACAACAAGTTTGGCCTTGTAGTTATTGATGGATCTATCGAGGTACAACTTTGTCCTATAGACCTATTTCACTCCAATTACATTCTTGTCTTTTGGCTCGTCAACTAGCTGCCATGTCTTGTTATCTTCAATGATAGTCATCTCCTCCTTCATAGATTGGTTATACTCATAAACCTTTCTAGCTTCTTTAAAGCTGGTAGGTTCAAGTACAAAAACATTACACCTTTGATAAATTTTTGACAGAGGTCTGGTACCTCTCATAGCAAAATCATCATCAATATCTTCTTCTTGGTCTTCAATTGTGCTCTCAAAAGTAGGCAAAGTTGAATGCCTTTCCATTTGAAAAGTTCCCCAATTCTAATAAGCATCTTAATCCACCTTAATATCTCTACTAACAAAAACTTTTCCAGAATCAATTCCATAAACTTTATAGCCCATAGATTTTGAGCTATAACCTATTAAAATTCCCTTTTCAGCCTTCTCATCCAATTTTCTTATTTTCACAATTGGTACATGAGTGTAACAAAGTGAACCAAACACCTTTAGATGTTTAATGGATAGCTTGATACCTCCCCAAGCCTCAACAAGTGTCATTCCCTTTACTACCCTTGTAAGAAGCCTATTTTGGAGGTACACAACAATATTTACAACCTTTGCCCAAAAGGACTTTGGCAATTTCTTCTAAAAAATCATGCATCTAGCCATCTTAAGAACTTATATGTTTTTCTTCTCTGCCACTCCATTTTACTGGGGGTGAGTAGCTCACTGTAAGTTGATGCTCAACTCCCAAATCATCACAAAATATATTAAATTCTATAGAAGTATACTCCTTATTGTCAGTTCTAAGTTTCTTCAAAAGGCAACCACTTTGAGCTTCAATGAAGGCTTTAAACTTCTTAATAACATAAAAAAAATTAGATTGTTGCTTAAGAAAGTAAACCCATGTCATTCTTATAAAATCATCAATAAAGAGAATGAAGTATTTGCTTCCATTTAATGAAGTAGTTTTCATAGGTCTACAAACACCAAAGTGGACTAACTCAAGCTTTTCATTTGCTCTCCATGTAGCAGAATTCAGAAAAGGCAATCTATGTTGCTTACCAAGTTGACAACTTTCACATACTTCTGAACATATTTGAATATTTGGAAAGTTTTTGACCAACTCTTGTTTTTGAGCAAATTGTGTTGGGATACAAACAAGTCTCACATCGATAAAATATGACAAAAAATAACAACTTATATAATACAAACATATTTCAATGATTGAGAGACCTTTTGGATAATAACCAAAAGCAAAACCGTGAGGACTAAGTCCTAAAGTGGACAATATCTCATCATTGTGGAGAATGTTTGTGTAATAACCCTATAAAATAACACTCATAAAATATCCTCTCAGACAAGTACCATAAAATAACCCCCATCAGTGGTATCAGAGCCGCAGGTTGGATTCGGTGACAACCAATAACCCTATAACCCCTCATAACTCATAAAATATAATGTGCTATATAAAGACAGATTCCGCTGCATAAAAGGTTAGGTCCCTTGTTTGAGAGGAGAATTGTTGGGATACAAACAAGTCCCACATCGATAAAATATGACAAAAAATAAAAACTTATATAATACAAACATACTTCAATGATTGAGAGGCCTTTTGGATAATAATCAAAAGCAAAACTGTGAGGGCTAAGGCCCAAAGCGGACAATATCTCATCATTGTCGAGTATGTTTGTGTAATAACCCTATAAAATAACACTCATAAAATATAATGTGCTATATAAAGACAGATTCCGCTGGTCCCTTGTTTGAGAGGAGGATTGTTGGGATACAAACAAGTCCCACATCGATAAAATATGACAAAAAATAACAACTTATAAATACAAACATACTTCAATGATTGAGAGGCCTTTTGGATAATAATCAAAAGCAAAACTGTGAGGGTTAAGGCCCAAAGCGGACAATATCTCATCATTGTCGAGTATGTTTGTGTAATAACCCTATAAAATAACACTCATAAAATATCCTCTCAGACAAGTACCATAACATAACCCCATCAAATTGAATGGATTTCAAGTTATAATGGCTAAACCTTTTGTGCCATAGCTTAAAATCAAGTTCAATCTTGCTAATTTTACACTCATATTTAGAAATTAAATTCTAGTTAATAGGAAAACTTCTTTTTCTCATCTTTATTTCAAATAATTCATGACCATCAACATTAGTGACTACACAAGTTCCTTCTTTAAATAGCAAGCAATAACCACTTTGCATCATTTGAACCACATTCAACAAATTTTGATCAAGTTTAGGCACTAAAAGAACATCATAAATATCTGTAATACGTATTGCAGTATGAATTCCCACGGTTCCTTTACTAGTGATTGCAAGTTCGTCTCTATTTCCAATCTTTACTCTTCTTCTAGCAGGTTTCAATTTTGAAAAAAATTATGGTTTGCTTGTCATGTGTTAAGTGCAGCCACTATCAATAAACCAAGTATTTTCATCCTTCGAACTCCTTGTAGTCTTGGTCGTGAACAATAAGTCTTCATCATCTTCAGTTTTAGTGACATTCGCCTTTTGAGGACTTTGATTTTTTTTATTTTGTTGTTGTTGTTTCAACCTACAAAACCTTTTTATGTGACCATATTTATTGCAAAATATGCACTAGATTGGTGGTGATATCTTCCCTTTGTACTAGTAATCACTCCCCTTGTCCCACACTTTGGAAAATTTTCCCTCTTCTTTAAATTTTTTCCAGAATGTTCACCAACAAACTTCTTTTCCCCTTTCATTGTTGGACCTTTCCCTTTATGCCTCACGTGTAAGGTTGATTCAATTGCTTCCTCTTATCCTAATAAGCCTTCTTTGTTCTTGGGCTTGAAAAGCATTTACAAGCTTTGTCAAGCTTATCTTGGAGAGATCCTTAGACTCTTCAAGTGAAGAAATCCTGGATTCAAACCTCTCAAATAAGACAACCAAGACTTTTTCAACAATTCTACTGTCTAGAAGCTTTTCTCCCAACAATCTAATTTGGTTTACAACTTTCATCAACTTGGTCATGAAATCTTTTATATTTTCAACCACATTCATATTTCAGGCTTCAAACTCTCTTTTGAGGTTAAGAACTTGTATTTGCTTGGTCCTTTCATTTCCAAAGAACTCCTCTTGAAACTTCTCCCAAACTTCCTTTGTTGTATCTAAATTTGAGATTCTCATAAAAACATCATCATCCATGGCTGAATGCAAGATGGTAAGTGTAACATTGTAAAAAAAAAAAAAAAAAAGAGGCTGATTCAGTAGCCCAAAACGGGCCGCTCCCAAACTGGAACGGGCCGTTCCACACTACTGAATTGAACTACATATTGTAGTTGAGAACGGGCCGTTTCGGGAAGGAGAACGGGTCGTTTTAGGAAGGAGAACTGGCCGTTCCGGAGGGAGAATGGGCCGTTCCGGAGGGAGAAAGGGCCGTTCCAGAG